TGCCTCCTCTGCCATGTGCTCCCACCATGATGTTTTGTTCCACCACAGGTCCATACAGCAGGCTCAGCAAACATGGACCGACATCTCTGGACCCATGAGCCAAAGAAACCTTTCCTTCCTCCAGGCGGTCATCCCAGGGACTCAGGTATTTTGTCACAGTAATGGAAAGCTGACTAACAAGCAAAGAGATGAGTTGGAAGGCACTGCACATATCTAAGTGAGAGGAGATCATGCATCTATCATGGCCTCAGTGGGTACAGGGGGAGGAAACAAGACTCTGGATATACTTTCACCCAATGAAGAAATGGGCAAATGAACTGAACAGAGCCTTTCCAAAGGATGAAGTCCAAATGGCCAAAAAAACACATCCCTGGCCATAAAGGAAATGCAAACCAAAACCACATTAAGATTCTACCACACTCCTGTTAGAATGGCTATCATCAAAAACACCAACAACAAATATTGGTGAGGTTGTGGGAAAAAAGGAACCCTCATACACTGCTGGTGGGAATGTAAATTAGTACAACTACTAACGAAAACAGTATGGAGGCTCCTCAAAAAACTAAAAATAGATCTGCCATACGATCCAGCAATAACACTCTTAGGGATATACCTGAAAGTCAGGTTGTAACAAAGGCACCTGCACACCCATGTTTATTGCAGAATTATTTACAATATCTAAGCTATGGAAACAGCCAAGATGCTCACAACTGATGAATGGATTAAAAAAATGTGTTTATATACACCACATGGTATATGTGAATGGAATTTTATTCAGCCATAAAGAAGAATGAAATTTTGTCATTTGCAGGTAAATGGATGGAACTGGAGAAATACCATCTTAAGCAAAGTTAGCCAGACTCAGAAGGCCAAAGGCCACGTTTCTCTCATATGTGGTATATAGGCCCAATACAAATGCAGCAATATTATGAAAAACAGGTCATGCCAAGGGGAGGTCACATATGAGAGAGGGAGGGTAAAAGAAGGAAGTTAAGAAGGTGAGTATGGTTGCTGTACTTCCTGTGCAGGAATGAATACAGAATTTCTAAATGTGTTGAAATCACCATAAGAAGGAGACTAAGGTAGAAAGGAGAAAAATAGAGGAGATGAACCAATTTGGGTTATAATACATCTATACGTGGAAAAGTCACAATGAAACTCCCTGTATAGCTATCTTAAACAAACAAAAATGTCTTTTTTACAAAAACAGAGGAGAATGGAACAGAGGAGAATGGAACAGGTCCTGTCTGGGGGGCAGGTAACAATGTGTGGAGGGGACATAAGGAAAGGGTGCAGGAGGGTGAATATGGTAGAATATTATACACTCATGTACGTAAATGGAAAAATGAGACACATTGAAACTATTCCAGGGGTGGAGGGGAGGGAGGATAAAGGAGAATGATGGAGGGGGTAAATTCAAGTATGGTATATTGTAAGAACTTTTGTAAATGTCACAATGTACCCCCAATACAACAACAATAAAAATTCTAGGACAGAGGATTTGTTGATAGATTAAGTTTTAAGATCATAGAGCAAGAAAGGAAAACAGACAACATGAAGGTGTGGAGTGAATGAGTTAAAACACGAGAATCCTCATTTGCTGAGACGGGAGGAGAAAGTGGGGGGAGGAGGAGGAAGGGGGGGGAGGTCTGGGCTCAGAGCTTGGGTTTGACATGTGATGTCATCCTCCAGCAATGAACCACAACAGCCATTAGCTTCTGGGCTCACTAAAATTGTAGTCAAAATTAAACATTCATTTCCTCAGTTACAGCAGCATATTTCCAGGCCTGGTGGTGTGTGTCCTTGCTAAGCACCTTGGGTCAATGGAGCACTACATCAGGCAAGGCAACGGTGCAAGGAACATAAGCCAGCAAGCAAGACCCAGACATTAGAGGATCTCTAGAGAAGAGAAGCCAGGTGGGCAGATACCAAAGCCAGAGTTCAGCATAAAATGCATGCTGGGTGAACACATGACATGAGGCTTTGTGGGAAGAGCCCACACTGCTTTGGCCCCACCCCTTTGATTTCTCTATTCAATGCTTCTCTGGCCCCACTCAGAGGAGATTAGGAAAATGATCAGGAGAAGTGGGCAGGGGACCATTCTGAATCACTGCGCCTTCAATGACGCCAGGTTTCAAAGTCTGATGGCCAGAGCCCTTTCTCTGGGTCACCTCACGCTCTCCTTTCCTTTCTATTTTTTGCTAGCTGAACTTTTTCCTATGTTAAGCTCTAAGCTGCTTAAGGGCAGAAATACATCCTTTTCTTATTCTTGGTTAGGCTGTTGTGTAAGCAAATGCACTTTGTTGGCCATAACCTGACAGAGGTGCTCTGTTAACGGCTTTCTATTCACTTATACATTTAAGAAACATCTGAACTCTGAACTAATTACATTGTGAAGAATTGTTCACAAGGGACACAAGGTGGAATATTTAAATTGAGAATGTTTCAGAAAGCCTAGGACTATAGTGACCAGACCCATAATGCACTCTTCCTGGTTCTTCACACAACAAACTAATTCAGTCCCGGTTTTACCTTTAGTTATTTTGCCTGTCATAATTTGAGAATGTGTTCTACATCCATCACTGAAACACAACCCGTCAAGGGAGCCAAAGCTTAGCAATGGAAGGAGCTTTTCCTACAGTATCTCAACTATCCCTACACTCAACATCTGTTATTAAACTGTGCTCTACTTTCAGTTCTTTTCTGATTTAAGTTGATTGATTAGTAGCACTAAGGCAGATGTCAGCTGTCATTTATATTTACAGATTGCCAACTTTGTTGGCAATATGTGTACATATTTTTTAAATCATTCTGACACTTTCTGTGGCTTCTTAAAACAATTTTGACTATGAACCTGCCGGTATCTGTGAGGACTGGCTGTTCAGGACCCTGTGGACACCCACCTGTGGAGGCTCAAGTTCCTCACATAGAATAGGATGTGTGTGCACACGACCTGTTCACATCCTCCTGTGGTCTACAACTCTGTATGACAATGTGAATGCTATATTAGTAAGTATGTTGTATCATTTAGAGAATGATGACAAGAAAGTCTCTCCGTTCAGTATAAGATGTAGTCATTGAAACTTCGATCTACCTGTTTGAGCTGGGGATGTGGCACTTGTGGTTTGGGCATTGGCTGTGTACAGCTGTCCTGAGAGGCACGCATGGACTGAAGCCCCAGCGACAGTAGACAAGATGCTTCACTCCAAATTACGGCAAGAAGCCCTGGGAAGCCTGGGACTGCTCATGACCGAAGCAATCTCTCCCATTCATTATTGCTCTATTATGTCTTAAGACAGAAATAAGTCAAACACCACGAACTCCTCATTTAGCATTTAGATGCTGAAAATCAGTGGCTGTCGTAAGGAGACAGGGAACATGCAAGCGTGTATCAGAAGCATACTGACTGCAGCAGTAGGGCAGACGCTTGCAGCCTGTCCCAGCCGAGTCACCTCTCAGCTGGATTCTTAGTCGCTCCTCAGCCATGTTCAGCGAAGCATTTGTATGCAGGCAAATTTGGAGGAACATCATGAAATATCTGTACTTGAGTTGTCACCTTCTCAAAACAGGTCTTGGACTGAGTCACGGAGAAAGCAGGTATGGGCACCAGACTCAGCTAAAGCCTTCTAACTTGTCCAGGAGTAAGCATGCCCTCAGTCCCAATGGGTGAACACAGACCTAGTTCGTGTGGGCACATATTCCCCTTGAATCCCATGTGGAAACATGGTCACCGCAGGGGCAGATGGTGCTGGCAGCACGACTCAACTGCTTCGACTTTTGTAAAAAGCGCTCTCCCAATTCCCAAATATAACACAGAAAATTACAAATTTACAAATTTGTAATTGACAATCCTAGTCTTTACTAAGAAAAGAAGCAATTTATCTTGATTCAAATTAATTACGTGAGGCTCTTAAATGGGGAAATTACTAAATAAGTTGATAGAAAGCAACAGGAAATAAAATCAGTGCATCAATTTCCCTCTCTTTAATAATTAAGCTGAAATCTACGAATGTAAATCCGAAATGCAGGGAGATTCCACTGGCTGTCTGAGCTGTCTTTCCAGCGCTGTGGCAGTGTGTCAGAGTGCTACAGTATTTAAGGAAAGAGAAGAAGACGTCACTATTAAAAGAAAGTCTGTCCCTCCTGACAGCGCATCTGTCATGACGCTGGTGGATGGTCACTGCCATCGTGTGAGGTGTGTTGGCAGCAGACTCCTGTTGAGGTCAATCTGACAGACATGCTCCCATATAAACTGGTGACATAAATACGCTTCTGACAAACAGCTTAAAGACCAGGAGGAGCAGGGGACCCAGCATAGCACTGGATGTGCTTACTAAACAAGGAATTTCAGATGCAAAGAAACTTCACCTCACATTACTTGTGTCACGGAGGCAGGTGGTAATGCCCTCATCATGTTCCCAAAGGATTTATGGCAACTAAGAACCATGCAGAAACTCTGATAAAGAAAAACAACATAAATGGGAAGTTGAGACAGGAGGCTGAGGAGGAGTCAGAGATGTGGCTAGAACACAGGCATGGGACGCTGTGTCCTCTTGCACAGTGACAGGAAGAAGTGCATGTTTTCTGTCTAATGAAGAGTCAGGTTCTTTTCCTGTTAAAAATTCAGAAACTGACAAAAAATTGGATTTTTCTTTTTTTGATTAGGGACTCTGTGAACTAGGAATCTATGTTTTGGCTTAAGCAAACACCATGAGCTCCAGAAGTCTGGGTTTAGGATGAAAAATGGAGAGAGGGCAGTGCAGTGTCTAGATTCAAGGTCAGTAATGTTGGGGGGTTCAGAGAATAAGCATCACCACAGATTTCCTACATGCAGACAGATGGTAAGTAGAAGAGCACCGGGAGTGTGATGAAATAATAAAATAAACTAAGGCCACTGGAGACTGACATTTAAGCTGCCACGGGCCCACCTGCAGAAATACCCACACCAACACCCCCAAAGAAGGCTCAAACCATTGCATCTCAGATATTCAGTGACTTACCTATAGCTTGAGCCAAGGCTATTACAACCTCCTGGCAAGTTGTGACTTCAGTGACCCCACAGACAATCCTCTGAACACCATCTACCCAGACTTTAAGTTCCATGGTGCACGGGCCAGTCACCCAAGGGCCCAGGGAGTGGTCATCAGGGAGTCAGGTCATGTCTCTAGCTTTGGGAACACGGAGAAGGCAGAGTCTGTAGTTAGCTAGAAAAAGGGAAAATATCATTTTTAATAAAGTAAATCTTAACAGTTCTTACACCATATTATGTAAAACGTTATACAAAACAAAACAAATTTAAATATATCACAACACTGACTCTGTTAAAGCCCAGAGGCCTACTTATTTCACAGAACTGAATTTAGCAGTTTACAACTACAACTACTCCTGACATTGCTCGTATTATTTCTACTTATTTCATAGTAATAATTTTAATTAAGTTACCCTCCATTGGTCTAAAATTCTCATTTTCCTCATCAAGCCCTCTTGCTCAATGTAATGCTGTTTTTCTACCCCTTTTCTGAATTCTGTCATTAGGAGAGTCTGAGGTTAAGGAGAGAAAAAAATTCCTGTCATTGCAGGAATCATAAATAATTGAATCACTTCCCTTAGCCACAGAACATTAGCAATTTTTAGCCACTGTTGCCATGGTATCCTGCTAGCTCAGGGGGCATCTTTGGTGTCCCCTGCTGTCCACAGGCCCAGGCACTGTGCGAGCAGGTGGACACAAAGCCTCTTTGAGGGAGGACATCACCTTTCTGCATGCAAATGCCCTGTGTTCTTCACCCTTAGCTGGGTTTGAGTTTTATTGCACTGGAACAGTTACTCAAACAAATAACCCATAACTATTGTCCTTGGCCATACTTGCCATGTGTGCTCACTCAGGGCTTGATAAGCATCCTGGTGGCAAAGGGATCTGAACTCGGTTTCGAGCTTGCTAGGCAGGCACTCTACCACTGAGCCATACCTCCCACCCTGCTTTTTGCTCAGGTAGGCCTGGAACCATGATCCTCCAGATTTTAGCCTAAGTAGCTAGGATTATAGGTGTGAGTCACTGCATCGGGCACAGTGCTTGGTTTTTTAATTTGCTGCACTATTTGCCAAAAAGAGAGATTTACATTCACATGTGGTCAAACCAAGTGCCTGATCCCGTCTGCAGACGTGAATGTTACTGGCCTGTGCATTTGACACTCTTCTCTTCCTGGGCAGACCCACAACCTGCTTGTCCATTGTTTTGGGGCCTTCCCATTTCTTTGTTGGTTTAAAAAGAATGTTAAGATTTATGAGCTGTACTAAGCACTGATTTAATGAACAGAACTCCTGGATTTGCTTTAAGGGTTATAACAACACAATGTTTCAGCGCTGGAGGTGGGACTCAAGTAGCAGAGCATCTGCTTTGCAAGCATGAGGCCCTGAGTTCAATCCTCAAATCTCAGTCTCACAAAAAAACAAAGTAAAGGTCTCCATGGGACTTCTTCTTTTTATCAGCAGAAGCACATGAGTTCTACCTTCTTGACACATTTTAAGTGCCCAAGGCTGTATGAGGATTCCCAAGAACCCATTGTTCTTGTGTAAATGAATCGTTATGCCCACAAGCAATTGCCCACCTCCCACCACTACCATTTCATCTCTATTGCTATGACTTTGACTCTTCTAGAGGCCTCCTTTAGGCTCTCGGTTCCTATTGAGGCTGTTTCCGATCTGAATTATACAGCATACTTTAACTTTTGTCATTAAATGAGAACACATGAACACAAGGCAATGTACATGTCAGCCCTGACAGGTAACACAGAGTGACAGGTAACACAGAGGCACAGGGACTACAGTCCTGACTGCAGACTCCCCACCGGCTGACAGAGGGGTGAGAAGTGTCTTAGTGGACCAGGCCAGTGCCCGCCTGTCCTGGTGTCTTACAACAAGGCTTCCGCAGGGGTCTGGGCCATGCTGGCAATCAGCCCTCGGAACTGGTGTCATTCCTAAGGGTCATTTGGGAGGCCAGGCACTGCCCCAAGCTGCAGCCCCCACCACCCTGCTCCTCGGGTCAGTGCCCAGCCCCGCACTTGGCCAGAGGGAAAACCGAAGTCCTACTCTGTTGGGGTGCGTGGTAGCAGACCGGTCATCTCTGGAACCGGGAGCAAAGGACATGAGGATTCCAGCGGAATCTGGAATCAGCTTTCCAGGGAAACAGTGTCATAGACGGAAGCAGGGCTCTGTGGCACAGTGTCCACACAGTGTTCTCACTGATTCATCTCAGTGTGGGTTTCCACACCCACATCGCTAACTATTAAACTTTGTTCAGTGTCGTGCTACCAGGAACAGCCACCTGTTGTCACAAAGCCTCCTGGGCCAAGTGTGTAATGTATAGTTCAGAGGCACAGCCAGGAGAGCAGGGTGCTCTGTGAGGCAGTCACGGGCGGCCCTCGGCACTCGCAGGCTACACACCAGAGAATATGTAGCCCCAGAAAACACTACTGGTGCCTCCTCCTTGTTCCGGAGATGGGCAGAGTAGAAAACATCTGGACGGCCTAGTGTCTGTCCCCGCCAAGTCACACAGGGCTCTCACACTGCAGTGAGCGTGCTTGCCTGTCTGCTTGCTGCTATGCTCAGGGTTCATTTTGTTTTGGGTGCTTTTTGTTTGTGATTTCATTGTTTATTGTCTGTCTGTCTGTCTATCTATCATCATCTATTGCATCCCTCTACCCCATGAATTTTTCCTGGATGGCAGGAACCTGATTCGTGGTTTTCTTTTTTTTTTAAGTGGGACCAAAGTTTGAACTCAGGACTTTGGATTTCACTTTTAAAATGGCCCCCAAGCACATCATAGCATGAAGTCCTGGGCAGTACTTCTGAGGCAGAAAGAACACAGACTGATGGGGAAAATCCAAGTTAGGTGCCCCATTACCCAGCCTCCGCTAGACAAGGGTTCTGCGTTTCCTTCAGAGATGTTCTAGTCCTAGGGTTCTTCTCTGATGGTACTTTTCATTTTGTTTTTGGTGCTGGGGTTTGGACTCAGGTTCTTGCGCTAGCTAGGCAGATTCCCTACCATGTGAGCCACGCCCCCAGCCCTTTCTACTTCAGTTCACCTTCTCATGGGTCTCACTATTCACCCAGGCTGGCCTCAAAGTGTGATCCTCCTACCTGCGCCTCCCACATTGGTGGGATTATAGGTAGGTGCCAGTCTTGTTAGCTGAGATGGAGTCTCACTAACATTTTGCTTGTGAGTGTCACTGGGATTACAGGTATGCCCACCAGGACTGGTCCCTTGGTGCATGTTTCTGAAAGTCCACAATTGTGTTGACTACAGAACTGAATGAACCCGTTCTCCTTTCTTACTGTGCATCATCCTCATACATACTTACACATCCAAACACACACAATGATTTGCCACTGCCAAACAGAGAATGCTTGAGTAACTTTTGAACCATAAATTCAAAGACTGCAGGTATGGCTAGCCTGCCTAGCAATCCCGAAGCCCTGAGTTCAAATCCCACTACTGCTCCCCAAAACAATGAACTATGAATTCAAAAGTTATTTCTGTACATAGAAACACCACCACTACTAAGCTGAAGACAGACTTGGACCAGTCATTGCCTCCAAACCAAGGGAAGCACAGAGTTCAAATCAGCAACCAGATCTGACTTGGAGAGGAATGAGACTTGGGAGGTTCCCCGAGTATCTCTTCTTTCAGCAAAGCAGAGAAAAGGCTGGGCCCTGAATCCCATGGCCTGGAATCCCACTGTCTCTGCTCTTGCACTGCAGGTGCCCACTGAGGGCAGACTGGCTTTCTCCTCCACACCTGATTAGGTACAGACCACTCACTAGGGAGGGCAGATTGTGTTCAGTATCCGAGTCCTACTTGGATGCGGAAATCTAATTCCTCATTTACCATTTAATGCAAATTACCTAACGTGTCAATGAAACCTGCCACTTAAAAGGAGATAAAAAGGTATTTATTTTCATTCTCAAAGTAGGATGACCATGGGATTTGCAAGATCATAAGCGCAAAGTGCATCAATTCTGATGAATAAGCCTGTTTTGGTCATGATGGAGGAATGAGAAACCAGCAGTGCTCTCTGTCCTTATGGCCAGACACTGACTTCAAACAGCCAATGTCACATGCCGGACGTGTTTCCTTGGGGCTTTGTATTTATAAGCTAAACTAATATGCAACTATTTCAAAAGCAAAATAAAATAATTATGTGAAGAACTAGCAATCAAACAGAGAAACATAACTGAAGAAAATTGGATCCCCTGACTCACCTGGGTCAAAATTGTTATCTGACTATAAAAAACTTCTAGACTTTTCCTATTTGAGACAGGGTTTATTTATGTGACCCAGGCTGGCCTTGAACTCATTGTCCTCCTGCCTGAATCCCCCAAGTGTTGAGATTATAGGCATGAACCATTAAGCCTAGCATACTAGACTTCATTTTAAGACTTAATTAACACAAAGTAAAAAGTAGAACAGTTTAAATGCTTCTTAAATTTTCATTGTTGGATTTACTCACTGATAAGGTACCAAATGCATCAGGAGCACAGGAGCCAGAGATCACATTTGGCAAGGCTAGCCATGCCGGGTCCCTGAGGGCCTGGTTAAATTGGAGCAATTACTCTCAGTTCACTGAGAATTGTAACGGCATCCACTGGAACAATTTGAAAGACAGTGAGTTCCCCATAATCTTGAAGAGTCAAGAGTAATTTTTTATCCTGCTTGTTTCCTGAAGAAAATCTAAGTCAATTAAATAATTAAATCTCTGGGTGACATGTTAGGTCTGTCCTGGGCTGGTGACCTAAGGTAACAGGCATTTTCCATTGTGGGAAAATGACACGCAGGCTGGTTAGTGTAAGAGCGAAGGCCACTGCAAACAGAGCAGGTGGATAGTGTAAGGGACGATCACACTGTCACGAAGCCACAGCTTACTCCTCACTGTCCTAGTGGGAGCATCTGGAATTCAGGAACCTAGGGTGATGGGCTTTCAGCAGTGGAGCAGGTGCTCCACTGGAGATGTGGGCTGAGGACCTGGTTCAGCCTCGCTCCTGCTCCTACCAAAGCCACAGTGCTGGGTGAGTCCGCATGACCGCATGTGCAGTCACAGGAATCAACCTTCGGCTGCAAGTAATACAGGATGCTCATGTGGGCGAAGCAACTGAGTCAGCTGACTGTTTAGGACCCCACTGCTGCTTGCAGAAAGCGGGAGATGTCATT